AGGAGAGAGAGACGCGAGGAGAGAGAGACGCGAGGAACATAAACAATAATTTAAACAAGTTGCAGAACTCTTGAGCAGTGTTTGAATCAGTGTTTTTCGGAAAAGCACTACTTTGCCGGTATCTGTCAATGTTCAACATAAAACACAGATTAACAAACTCCTCCCCCGCAGCCGGACTAACCTCGTAAGTCCAGTGGTGGTCTCCCAGTCTATATTAATTCTTTCTTTGTTTGAAAGTCCAATTGAGAAAAAAAATCTTCATTCAAATCATCCATTTTCCAGCAAAAGAAATAGCATTTTGGGCTGATTGTTTGTTAGCAACTCTGGTATGAACTTTATGCTCACTATCACCCCTAGCGGTGAGGCACAGATACCGCCTGCCTCACGCCAAGCTTTTTCCTTGTGTGTTCATCAGAATCAGAATCAGAATCAGAATCATTTTTATTGCCAACGTAAGTAACGGGAGGTCACAGACTTGGAAATTGCTTTGGCTCAGTGCAACAGTCAAAAAGAGATAATAAAAATAAGAATAAAAAACACTTCTAAAGAATAAATTTAAATTTAAAATAGAGTTACAGTTACTATTTACAATATACAAGTGCACATGGTGCACACAATGTAAGGTGACAGCAGTACAGTGAAGTAAAGTGACGTATGATGGGCAGTAAAGTGACTTTATAAAGGGCGGGGGGACAGGTTAAGAAGTGTTCAAGAGTCCAACAGCAGAGGGGAAGAAACTGTTCTTGTGGCGGGAGGTTCTAGTCCTGATGGACCGCAGCCTCCTGCCTGAGGGGAGTGGTTGGAATAGTCCATGTGCAGGGTGAGAGGGGTCGGCTGTGATACGACCAGCCCGGCCTCGAGCTCGGGCGACGTACAGGTCCTGCAGCGATGGAAGGCTGCGGCCGATCACTTCCTCTGCAGAGCGCACAATGCGCTGTAGTCTCTGTTTGTCCCTGACTGTGGCTCCAGCGAACCACACGGTGATGGAGGAGGTGAGGATGGACTCGATGATGGCCGTGTAGAACTGCACCAACATCTGTGCAGGCAGCTTGGCTTTCCTGAGCTGCCGCAGGAAAGTACATCCTCTGCTGGGCCTTCTTGATGAGAGAGCTGATGGTCGGCTCCCACTTGAGGTCCTGGGTGATGGTGGTGCCCAGGAAACGGAAGGACTCCACAGAGGTGATGGGGGAGTCCATCACGGAGGGTGGGGGCGGGGGGACAGTGCTCTTCCTGAAGTCCACAATCATCTCCACTGTCTTCTGGGCGTTCAGCTCCAGGTTGTTACCACTGCACCAGGACACCAGCCGGTCCACCTCCCTCCTGTAGGCGGACTCATCGTTGTTGGAGATGAGTCCAATGAGGGTGGTGTCGTCCGCGAACTTGATCAGCTTCACGGAGTCGTGGCTGGAGGTGCAGTGGTTGGTGTACAGGGAGAAGAGCAGGGGAGAAAGAACACAGCCCTGTGGGGCTCCTGTATTTATAATCCGAGAGTCCGAGACATTCTTCCCCAGACGCACTCGCTGCTTCCTGTCCGTCAGGAAGTCAGTGATCCACCTGCAGGTGGAATCGGGCACGTTGAGCTGGGAGAGCTTGTCCTGGAGCAGGGATGGCAGGATTGTGTTGAAGGCAGAGCTGAAGTCCACGAACAGGACCCTGGCGTAGGTCCCCGGGGAGTCCAGGTGCTGTAGGATGTGGTGGAGGGCCAGGTTAATGGCGTCGTCTACAGATCTGTTGGCTCTGTAGGCGAACTGCAGGGGGTCCAGGAGGGGGGAGGTGAGGGACTTGAGATGGGAGAGAACCAGGCGTTCAAATGACTTCATGACGACAGACGTAAGTGCTACAGGTCTGTAGTCATTGAGTCCTGTGATCCTGGGCTTCTTCGGAACGGGGACAATGATGGAGGATTTGAAGCAGGCCGGGACATGGCAGGACTGCAGAGAGGAGTTGAAAATGTCCGTGAACACAGGAGTAAGCTCACTGGCGCAGTGTCTCAGAGTGGCCGGAGACACGTGGTCCGGGCCAGGAGCTTTGCGGGGGTGCAGCCTCAGGAAGAGTTGTTTAATCTCTTTAGCGGCTATTGTTAGGCTGGGGGCAGGGCTGATGGGTGGGTCGTTAGAGTAGTGGGGGGTGGGGGAGGGAGAGGTGTCAGGGGCAGCATCAAAGCGACTGAAAAATAAGTTCAGATCGTCAGCTAGCTTGTGGTCATCAGCACAGGGGGGGGCTTTGGGTTTGTAGTTGGTGATCTCCCGTAGGCCCCTCCAGACAGAAGCAGTATCGTTGTTACCAAACTGCTCCTGTAGTCGTTCTCTGTGCCGGGACTTGGCTGCTTTCAGTTCTTTCCTGAACTGATATTTAGCTGCTTTGTAGCCGCTGCGGTCCCCCTCCCTGAAAGCAGACTCCTTTGCTTTCTCTGTTCATCTACGATCAAAAGACTTAAACTAAATATAAATTGTACACACATACGTGCAATACACTACTAAACACTAAGAGGAGTTTAAAAAATGTTTTTAAAGCAGGATATTTGAAACAAACGGTGATATATCAACTGCACGAGCTGAGTGCACTCAGACACACACACACACACTGTGAGGGAGCGGTCTGGGGTGAGGCACGCAGGAGCGCTGCCTCACCTCGTCTCTTTGAATAGGAATAACGGGATTTCGGCGATTTTGACTTCAGAAATGATCAAAACTGATGGGAACCGTGCCGAATATACATTAAAAGCATAGGACAGTGGATATAAATTATATATTTAAACTAAAATAATTATTAGTTTCCAATAATGGCAGGTGAGGCTCTGCCTCCCCTGACTGCACGTCCCTGCACTTTCCCCATTTCCCCTTTTGTCCCGGGTCAGTGGGCTCTGTCTGTACCCGTCTGTACCTGTCTGTACCCGTCTGTACCTGTCTGTACAAAACAAAAAACTGAGAAGATAATGTGTTAAACTTTTGTAAGACTTTGAAAAAACAATCTAGACCTTTTGTGTCTAACAGAAGGACGTTGTATCTTTATGTTAAAGGAGAAGCTACAATAGTTTCATGTGGTTATTAATGAATGTCAAAAGCATTTTCTGTATTATTATGTTTAATTAACTCTGACCAAATATGAGCAGGACACGTGGAAATGTGTGATTACTCCTCGTTTGTTTGGCACACACACACACACACACACAGATACACACACACACACATGCACAGTGGCTTCTCAGCAAGAAAGTCCAAGGTTCGAATCCCAGTCGGAACGGGGCCTTTCTGAGTGGAGTTTGCGTGTTCTTCCCGAGTCTGAGCAGGTTTCCTCTGGGTGCTCCGGTTTCCACTACCACTAAAACATGTGCAATAGTTCAGGGTGAATGAGTGTGTGTTTGTGAGAGACGACAGATGGAAAATAACCCAAGGTTAGATTTAGATGAAAATCAGTCAAAAAGTGTGTTCTCTGTCCCAACCAGAATAAACAATATGAAGAAAATACACTTAGATACACATATATTCACGTACACACACACAGAGATGCAAATACATACACGCATGCACACACTTGGATACATACACGCACACACACACACACAAATATATATACACACAGTAACACACATACGCATACTGTATACAGACACTTGGATACACACACACACACACAAATAAATACACACACACACACAGTAACATACAAGCACACGGTCACACACATACAGACACTTGGATACACACACAAACACAAATAATTATATACACACAGTAACATACTGTACAAGCACATGCTCACACACACAGTAACACACAAGCACATGGTCACACACATGTACACACACACGTACACACACATGTATACACACCTTCACTTCTCTTCAAACTGCTCTGAAATAATGTTTTTTATATAAAATTGTGTGTTTTCTTTCTGCCTGTGTTTCTCTGTTGTGTATTTTACTAAAGTTGATGAGTCATTTGTGGATCTTTTGTGATGTGAGGGTCCCATTGAGAACCTGGACTACACAACAACACACTCAACAACACACACACAACAGCATTTCTGTATCAGTCTCTTCACACATGTGTTAAAAACATGTTTGATCATCTATATTTTGTATTTGTGTTGCTGCTGTTGTTGTTGTTGTTGTTGTTGTTTTGTTCCTATGGCTTCAATAAACCAATTCCACAGTGCGTGCGCGTGTGTGTGTGTGTGTGTGGTTTTATTAGAAGTGTTCCCTGTAACAGACGCAAACTGTGACTGTAGTAAACAAAGTGGATAATGTGCAGAAATGTGCCCCGGGCGTCTGGATGCAGAGCACACACCGTTTGTGTCAAAGGAAAAACACCAAACTTAGCCCGAGCCGTCTGTAAACTCAATTATTAGTTCACTAAACAGCCAAAAATGAGGAAAAACAAGGTGATAAGTGCTTGAATTGAGTGGTTTTTATCTTATTTTCAGCACAATCTCTGTATTTCATGCTGTAAATGCACATAGTCACAGATATGTATATTCCGGAGTACGTATATATCCAGATTATTCTATTCAATAAAGTCTGTCTA